TCAGGAAGAAGCTAACCTTTATGCAGCTAAAAAGGCAGCTGGTGCTTCACCTTATAGTGGCACTCCCACACCCATGATGTCTCCTGCCCCACCGCAAGATTCCATGGGATATTCTATGGGTTCTGCTTATGATCAGGGCTCTGCTTATGACGCAAGTAGTTGTGGTTATGATCCTATGCATGCCCAGGAGTTGTCTCCATAAATTGAGATTTAGTAATGAATTTACAATACATAATGTATACCATGCTCCTTTGAAGTATACTACTAGATTTTTTGTATCCTGTAATGTCTTGTAATAAGTGGTCTGATCCTATGAAGTTGGTTTGGCAGCTTTAGTTGTTTATAATGGAGTTTGTATTTACAATTTTTTTTTTCACTTTGTTGTGGCACTTTCTTTATTTCATATATTTTATTGATGGATTTTAGGCTAAGTTGATTGTCAGACTGCAATTTTAGAGATATTCTGAATAATTAGGTACTTGAAAGTTTTAACATTAGCACAGTAGTATTTCAACCTCTGTCTTTTACAATAGAGAATAAAAACTATGCTTGAAACCATTTTTATTATTTTTACCTAGTTCATATATATGCTCACAACATAATCATTTAAATGTCATTAAATGCATATACTTGTAAGGATAAATCACATGTTGGCCACCAGAATGAAATGAAACATCTGTAACACTCACCCGAACTGAAAGAGAATAATTTGCAAAAAACTTTCTGAGGATTCCATGAAATATTGGATACATTTTTTTAACATTGAAGCACCATACAATCGACAATCAAAAGCAGGTTGACACAAAAGGATGATGAAATGAGTTCTCTTCTAATTCCATGTAGATTTTTGAAAATGATATATTATCTTCCTTGTATGTTATCCTGTCATATTGAAGTACTTCCTCTTCAAGTGAAGGAAAATCAGCACCATCCGGCAACACTGCTATGACTGACGCGGGAATACGTCCCCACCACTACTCCAATTTGTGATGCATACCCCTAGTGCTCCATAGATGCAAGTAGATTACTTATTGGCTCCAGATGAATGAGATAGCCTTGAAGTGTTACAATATTTTGAAAATATGCCCGGATTAAGATAACCCTCGAGTTGGGGTTGATGGTTAAGGCTGTTACCGCCGATACAACAAGGCCTGCAGGTTCCGTGGTGACGTCACCTTAGTGAGACCTAACAGCGGCTCGAAATGACAAGCGCTTATGGCACTATAAGGCGACCGCGTATTTCAATTTTAGCTGTAGATCATTATTTAGCCGATTTTGCTGTTTTTTTGAAGGGCTTCCAGTTAAAAGAGGATGCCAGTCGTCAACTGAGCCCTTCTTCGCATCCCATTCGATGTCATTATGGAAAAACGAAGTTTCAAAGCAAAAACCAGAATAAATCACAAATACCTACCTACAGCAACTCATTGGAATTAAATATATTGGCAAAAATTGTAGTGATTCAATCTCATTAAAGTTAAACTTCACACCTACTTATACAGGGCCCGCAGAACATAACTAAGATTGATCAAAAGAAAATTGGGGAAAATGTATTTTATTTTGATAGACATGCCGTTTGTTAAAATTAGCTATATTTATCTTGGAGGATTCCTATTACCCAAAAAATGAGCCAGTGAGTGTTTTCAATTTCCTGTTGTTGGATTTTTTACCAAATTGATAGTTAGACTTGAAACACTAATTTTTAAGTAGGGTGTTTGTAGTACATGTCAATATGATAATTGCAATTTGATCATTGGAATGAATTCTGCATTCATTGCCACGAGGCAAATGACCGTTTTCAGAAAGAAATTTGAGAATGTATTGAGATTGAGTTAAAAATGCCCGTTTATTATAAACATTCAAGAATATTTCCTCGAATTCAGAGATGATTTTATTGAATGTAATATACGAATACAAAACTAACTGCACAATCAAAGCTTGCGGATCGAGTAATTTTCCTCTACTCACACTTTTTATGAGATAGTAATTGTCTTATATATTATTAATTCATCATTATAAACTTAGTTCTGTTTACAAAATTCGCACAGAATTTTTCTAAGTGAAATATAGCAATAATAACCTGCTAAATAGGTTATTACCGGCATGTCATCACTATATTTAGGAGTCAGTCATACATTTTTGTCGGTTACTCAACCAAAAAGATACATATAAATGATGAAGATGGAAAGCCCTAATTTCGAGTGACAATGGAAAATGACCGCACTGACAACAGTCGGCACTCGACGAAGCGAGGGATGGAAGGTGGCCTGAGTTAGCTGACGTCACGAGCTGTTCACTACGAAGCCTGCAGGCCTTGTTATATCGGCGGTAACGTTAAAGCCCCCTAATATTGATCAGTCTTAATGACGTAAGTACAAGTACCTATATTATTATTTTATTATTTAGACCCGTGCTGAAGCCTTTGAAAACGGTAAAATGTGAAAAAAAATCATAGTAGGGTGGAACTCAATGGAAATGAGAAATAATATAACAAAAATGAAACGGAAAATAAATTACGGGCGATCTGAGGTCGGGAATGGGCGTGTACACCTTGGTAGAACTTTTAACTCAAACCATTTTTATAATGATCCTTCCATACATAAATAATGATTGACGACATAATTCGATCGAAAAATTTACTGGAACGTTCAATTTTTGGACATAAATAATAGTACCATCTGAAAACGGACCCTCTTATGACGTAGAAACCTCATCTCGCCATAGTTAAAAGAAAATACCAAACGCCGGACAGAGACTGAGGCAACTGATATATTAATTCTTTCAACTGTGATCTCACGCTAATTCACTCTGCCAGAAATCATGTATCATTCATCTCTGTCTGGAATAGTCCTGTTTCAGTATTAGGGTTTTGACGTCACATCATCGCCTCGTTTTCAGAGGTCCGAAATATCGGGGATTTCAATAATTTTTTATAAAACGTAGGGAGCTCACAGCGATAAACGGTTTGCTGTGGTGAGCTAGTTTTGGTGAGTTCTATCGAATTATGGAATAAAATTTTTTTGTGATATAAGCCCATTGGTAGGGGGTGAGTTTTCAAGGGGTAGAAAACGGTTTATCTTGATTTCCAGCACACTAGGAGCCCTATGAAAAAGTTGAATAGCTAAGTTGTAGGTAATAAAGAGACCTACAACTTTTGTGATCACACTTTTTTCACATAACCTCAAAATTTATGTGAAAAACTCAAATAATCAAGTTTTTGGTTTTTTATTTCTTATGCGAAAAAAATTTTCACTAAATCTGCTCAAAACTTACCTCTTCATGTCCTAAAGACACTGTAATTTTTTGACAAAACACCCTAATTTTCAATCAAAGATTCTCGCGTCAGAATATCAGTTTTTTTAAAAAACTCAGGGCGCTTTTTGTTTCTTTGAAATCTCTCCTTTCTGATGATGTAAGGACAATATACATTACTATGGTGACTCAAATCCGATTTTTTTTAATCACTATCTACAATTTTGAGCTATTTTGTGAAATTTACACTTTAATTTCATAAAGATTGCTATAGGAACATGCGCAAATAGTTGTTCTAAATATTAAAGATAGGATTTGAAGGAGGGATTTCAATAGAAAAATGTGGCTGCCGAAAACATGGCTTGAAATGCACAAATTTATGCTCAAATTGTCAATGTGAAAAAAAAAACCTACGAGGAAGTTAGTGATTCAGACGAAATTGTGGATTAAGGACCAATTCAGACTAAAAATAATATTGGATTCGAAGACGGTGATGGTCTTGAAGATTTCAAAGATCTACAAGAATCGGGAAAGTTAGTCGAATCTAACGATGAAGAAATGCCACCGAAGAGACAAAAAGTAATGGATAAGTGATTAGGGTTCAAGATAAGATTTATATAAATAAGAAGATAAATGCATTTAAAAATATTGTTATGAATAATAATCAGTATAAAGTATCAAAATTTAATAGTATGATTTACATTTTTATTCATCAGATATTATGACATAAATGTAATCAGAATTTGATAAATCAATATTTTTTCACATCATGAGAGAGAAGAGATTTCAACGAACAAAAAACGCCTCGAGTTTTTTTAATAAGCTGTAATTTTGACGTGAGAATTTTCGATTGAAAATTAGGGTGTTTTTTCGATATTGAGTCAAAATAAGGTGAAAAAATGAATATTTCAAATCAAAAAAATTAGTGTCTTTAGGACATAAAGAGGTAACTTTTTAACAAATTTCGTGAAGAAAAATAACAAACCAAAAACTTGATTATTTGAATTTTTCACACAAATTTTGAGGTTATGTGAAAAAAGTGTGATCACAAGATTGTAGGTTTCTTTATTACCTACAACTTTGTCATTTAATATTTGTCCATAGGACTTGTGGATTTGCCGGGAATCGAGATACACCGCGATTTTTAAACATAAAACTCACCCCCTTCCACTTCCCGACCTCAGCTCGCCCGTAAATCGTTTTTCCTTTCATTTTTGTTATATTCTCGTCCTTTCCCAATGGGTTTCATCATACTATTATTTTTTTTTGGTTTAAAAAATTATCGACCCTGGTCTATATTGGCATAGACCCCAAGGTGAAAATGGATTGGAGTATTGCAAAACAACAACAAATTTTCACATTTTTGATACTGTTAACAATTTGATAGAATTTAATGCTGATCAATAAGATGATGCGGATTATTTCAATATTATTATTCACTTCCAGTTGAATTGCAGGAAAATAACCAAAGTTATCCTACAGGGGATGAAGGGCAAACAGTGAGACAAGATTTAAGATTGAATTTTATAAACGGCAAATTTTTATTTGATGAGGTGAAATAATAATTGAACCGTGTTCAAGACGAATAATAAAAAAGCTCGACATTTTGGTTTCCATTACAATAATCTGACTATAAAATACATAACTTGGATTTTGGAAACTAACAAATATGAAATAAAAACAGATTAACATAAAATTCTTAATATCCAACTCATTCTTTGATTTTGGTCAACATCTCTGAAGATACATATTTATAAATTATAACTCAAGATAGGGTCGTAAATATTCCTAATAATCCATTTCACACTGAATAAATCACTATGTTCCACATGTTTTGTAAGATAACCTAAAATCGTTTCATTCAAGTAAACCGTAAACTCGTGTATAAAATTATGATTGATTTGAAAACGTTCTAAGAACGTAACTGTTGACTTTAAAGCACATATCACAGACACTTTAGTTTTGTATAACATCATCGGAGAAGGATGTTTCTGGAGTGCATCTAACAGAACTGTTGTTACTAGTAAAGTATGCTCCTCTATGAATATTGATTTGTCTTCATAATTCAATCCGTCATCTAGAGTCCACAGGAACCTACGAAGTAGATTTCCACAGAATGCCATGAAGGGGACGTTTTCTGCGTAGAGATTCAGCTCACCCCGTTCGAACACCTTAAATTAGAATAGAATATTTGTTTTTCTGCAACCGACACAAAAGTCGTCCATTTTGATACCAAAATTAGCTCTTAAATTGACGTTTCTATTACTGACACAAAATAGGTATGTTGCTAGGCAACATATTTAGTTCCTAGGAGCTAAAGTTGAATTTTAGTTCCTAGGAGCTAAAGTTGAACTTTAGCTCCTAGGAACTAAAAAGGATCTACTGGACGTCATCAAGAATAAACAACATTGTGACGGTTGGTTATTTGGGTTGAGACACATAACTGATTTGTTTTCGATTGCAGCAGATTTGGCATTTCATACCCATGCTGGAGATATAAATACACCCTATTATAGTTTAGTATTGGAATTATAAACATCTCAGTTAAGTATTTTTGTTTTGATCAGGGAAGCCTTCAAGATTCAAATACTTGCTTGATCTGTATTTCATTCGTTATTCTCGGTGTTTTATTATTATATACTGAATATATTTAGCTTGGTGAACCCTTAGTACAGACTCACGTGGTTGAGGTTTTGGGGTTCAGGAATGAAACAACCTTACATTGTTGTGTCGGCCAGGCAAATGGACGAGTCTTTATTCCCACCAGCAGTATCACAGATTCTCCATGATTCATGGAATTATATGTCAATGTCAAATGTCAACTCGTGACAACTTCAATCCTTTACATCTTCCTTCTTTTAAATGAACAATATAATTTACAACAGTGTACAATTTACAAAATTACAAATTCGCAAATTATTATCTCCCAAATAATAAATTATAAGTACCTGAATATATATATCTCTGTGCCTTCCTTTTGACGACCTTTCACAACAATAATGATATACTTTTATAAACAAAACATAGAATAGTAAATATAGATAGCAAATATATAGTAAAATACAAACTTTCTCATCAATAGACACATAATAACATTCAACAATAGGGACATATACAATTATACCATTAAATACAAACTACTGACTAAATCTAAATGGGGGTCTCACATATCTTCCGTACCTGGTTTGTGTTTGTGTTTCTCTGAGTTGATCATTCATAGGTGTACCAAAATCTGAATTATTTTCATTATTTGTTGGACTATCAGAATCAGATTCACTATTTGTTGGACTATCAAGATACTCATTTTCCTCCTTTTTTTCTTGATCATCATTGAATGCATTGAAAACAGTTGGTAAATAATCATGCCCATTGAAATTGTCATTATGACTTTCTTTATCATTAACTTTGATTAGATGTTTTCTATTTCTTGTCACCAAATTATTGCTTCTTTTCAACTTAATATCATATGATCTCGGCTCATCTCTCTTTTTGATAACTATACCATCTAACCACATCTCTTTACTCTTAATATCATGATTTCTTACTTTAACATTGTCCCCTGCTTTAAGTATACTCAGTTCCTTACTACTTTTGTCATAATTATTTTTTTGCTCAACTTGCCTTTCTTTTAATTGATTCCTGGTTTCAGAAAAAGGTTGTATTTTAGGTTTAAGTAATTTTTCTTTAATTGGTAGGGTAGTTCTTAATCTCCTACTGAAAATTAATTGTGCTGGACTAGGTAAATTTGCAGAAATTGGTGTGTTACGTAAGTCTAGAAGTGCCAATTGTACATCAGTTCCAGATTTTTGACATTTTATAAATACATTTTTCACGGTTTGGACAAATCTTTCTACTTGGCCGTTACTTTGAGGGTAGTGGGGACTTGATGTTACATGACGAAATTGCCATGAATTACTGAATTTTTTGAATTCACTAGCAGAAAAACAAGGGCCATTATCAGAAATTACTATATCTGGAATACCATGAACTGCAAATATTCTTTTCACAGCCTGTATTACTTTTTCACTTGTTTGGCTCTGTAATTCAGTAACTTCTACAAATTTTGAGTAGTAATCAACAATTATGAGATAATATTTATTGTTGAATTGAAATATATCTATCCCAACCTTTTTCCAAGGGCCTAGAGGAATATCATGGGAAATTAGAGGCTCACTTTGATTATTATTGCGATTTGACAGACAGGTGTCGCATGATTCAATAACGTTATCTATTTCTTTAGACATATAAGGCCAAAATACAAATTGTCGAGCATTTAACTTGGTTTTTTCTTTACCCAAATGTGGTACATGTAATCTTGCTAAAATTTCCTTTCTCAAAGATTTTGGTACAAAAAGTCTGTCATTTTTATATATGAGTCCCTGAGCACATGACAATTCATCTCTGAAAGTCCAATATATTTTGAATTCCTCCTCCAGATGCTCTTTATTCTTTGGGAAACCATTACTTATCAGATTCATTAGTTTTACCAAGTGTTGATCAGCCGCTGTCTCTTTTTGAAATATTCTGTATTTGTATGGCGTTATAGGAATATTATTTGTTACTAAACAGAGGTGCCTTTCAATCTCATTACATTTTTTCTCGAAATTTTCATCAAAATTATCTTGATAGGCTCTACTTAAAGCATCTGCAATATGCAAATCCTTGCCTTTTTTGTATACCAGTTTGAGTGTGTATGGTTGTAACATTAACAACATTCTTTGCAACCTTGCTGGGGCATTTAACAATGGCTTATTGAAAATATAAATGAGAGGTTTGTGGTCTGTTTCAATAGTAACATCTGATCGTCCATAAATAAAATAATGAAACTTTGCACAGGCATGAGTAATTGAAAGAAGCTCTTTTTCAATTTGAGCATATTTACATTGAGTTGATGTGAATGCTTTCGATGCATATGCTACTGGTGCATTATTTTGGAGTAGAACTGATCCACAACCTCCCTGGGAAGCATCACATGAAAGGACGACAGGTAATTTGGGTGAGTAGTACTGTAAAACTGGTGCTTTAACTAAAAGTGATTTCAATTTTTCAAAAGCCTCAATCTGTTCAGTACCCCAACGGAAAGTTGCATCTTTTTTTATAAGTACCCTCAGTGGGTCTGTTACTTCTGAATAATTTGGAATAAATCTATTGACAAAATTAATTATGCCTAAAAACCTTTCTATATCATTTCCTGTAGTAGGTGTTTTAAAATCCAAAACTGCTTTTATTTTATTTTCATCTACCTCCAAACCATTTTTAGATATGTGAAACCCCATGTATTTCACAGACTCTACACAAAATTGACATTTACTTAAATTCAGTTTCAAATTATTTTGCCTGGCTATGTTCAAAACATTTTCTAATTTTTTATTGTGTTCATCCAAATCCTTGCCCCAAATCAAGATATCATCCACATAAAGTCCTATTCCTTCCACCCCCTCAAAAATATCCCTAATTTTTCTCATAAAAACTTCTGGAGCCGAGCAAATTCCATATGGTAATCTCAAAAACCGATATCTACCCCATGGGGTATTGAAAGTCGTTAGTTTACTACTGTTTTCATCTAATTCAATTTGCCAAAACCCATTACTGCAGTCAACAACAGAAAAATATTTTGCTCCATTCAGCTTGCTAGTAATTTCATCTAAGCTAGGTAAATAAAAATGTTCTCTCTTAACTGCTTGATTAAGGTCCTTAGGATCAATACAAATTCTCAAATCATTGTTTGGTTTTTTAACAATTACCAGGCTATTCACCCAATCAGTTGGCTCACATATCTTTTTGATGACATTGGCTTTCTCCAGGTCTGCAAGCTTCTCTTTGAGGGGCTGGTGAAGGGCATAGGGCACTTTCCTTGGGGGATGGACTTTGGGTGGCACATTCTCATCTAGTATAATTTTGTATTTCCCAGACAGACAACCAAGTCCCTGAAACACATCAGAATATTTCTTAATCAACTGTTCACATTTTCCTTCATTATTAATGGTCCCTACATAATTTCTTTTTATCAAGTTCAACTGTACACAAGCATCAGCACCTAAAATTGGTGTCTTATCAGTTTTAACTATATGAAATAAAATTTTGTTCATGTTACCTTTGACGTTACATTGTCTAACTTTCAGATAAACTGTACCTAAAGACAATATTTTATTTCCTGTGTAGCCAGTTAGATTTGAATTAGTTTGGCACAATTCTTCATCAGGTATATTCAATTTTACAAGATAATTATGAGGTAGAATTGAGCAATCTGCTCCTGTGTCTAACCTGAATGTGACCTTTATTTTGTTGTTTACATAGAAATTTTCAACCCACCTGTTTGAACTATTGTTGTCTGTGATATTGAAAATAAATGAATCATCTGGAGACAAATCACACCCTTCCACATTGAAAAATTCATCCTGTTCAAATTCAACTCGATTTATGTTATTAGTATATCTACTTTTACAAACTTTGGCAAAATGGTTAAACTTTTGGCATTTTTTGCATTGCTGTCTATAAGCAGGACAGTTATTGAACTTATGATTTGATCCACATTTGTAACAGTTTTGTATGAATCCTCCATTATTACTATTATTAGACAAATTACTTAGCTTTTGGTTAACTGCCGATAGTGGACGTCCATTTTGTGAGCAGCTGGGTATTTCTTGAACTGTCTGTTGATACCCATCTCTTTGCCTTGGTGACGTGTGGTGGTATTGCTGGTAGACTGATGTACGTTGGGCTGGGAATCTCCTGTTTTGAATTGCATGAATCTCTGGAGCTACTCCTTGTATGACTTCTAGGCGTTTAGCTGTTGTTTCTGCTGAACAGCAGACTTCCAATGCCTTGTGTAGTTGTAAATCTGGCTCCCGCAGCAACCTGTCTTTTATAGACACATCAGTGATACCCAGTATTAGTCTGTCTCTGATCAAGCTATCCGTCAGTGTTTGGAATTCACATGTGCTTGCCAATTGTCTTAGTTCTGTTACATATGCTACATAGGACTCCTCTTCATTTTTGTTACGTGTAAAAAACAGGTACCGCTCATATGTTGTATTTTTCGTAGGTGTGAAATATTCTCCAAACTTCTTGATTATGGTTGACGCTGAAGTTGAGGCGGTACGAATGTTCAATGAATGTTTCTCAGATCGCCCTATTGATAGACATTATTTCAAACAGTGAGTGCAAACAT